CTTAGTGTCCAAGTGCTGCTTGTCTTAGTCTGACATTAATTCCTGGCTGTGTTTCCTGCAGGTTGAGGAGCTGGAGACAGGGAAATGTTACATTTTCCGAGTACGAGCACTGAACAAGGCTGGAGTTGGACCCCCCTCGCTCCCCTCGGATCCTGTGGTGGCTAAAACCAAACCTGGTAGGAAACTAAAAGCCGTGAGACTGGGCCAGTCTATAAATAAATGGATGATCTGGGTGAAAAACTGCTTTGTGACGCACCAGCTATTTGTTTCACAGCAAGAAACACCCTCAGAAAAAACAAAGATGAACAAATCAAACTGCCCAAATTAATTAGCTCTGACTGTGCACTGCGTGGTTTGGTTTTGGGGATCATTTTTTGAGTTAGATGTGCAGAAGCTCAGCCCTGATCTGCTTTGCTAAGGAATGTTCTGTGGGTTTTTTTGCCCACACAGGCACAAATGAAATTGAACTCGGGGTGGATGAAGAGGGTTTCATTTATATGGCCTTTGAAGCTCCTGAAAAGAATGATTCCTCTGAATTTATCTGGTCAAAGGACTATGAGGGACCTCCAGATGCTGACCGAGTCCAGGTTGAAGAGAAAGGCAATAGGTGAGTATCTAATGCACACTGGGAAAGTGAATCATGGTCTGCTGAGTAAAGAACACATGAAACACCAAGAAAAACGTGAAGCCAAATGTTTTCCCTCTCCTTTCCCTGATTCCCAGCCCTGGAGTCCGTGAAATGGAATCTGGGGAGCAGCTGCCATTGATATTATATCAATGATTATAATATCAATTGATATAATATCAATATATTATATTATATCATATAATTGATATTATATAATATAAAATATATAATATATTATTATTGATATTATAGAATATATATTGATAATATTAATATTGATATATTGATTATGTGATGTATTATATCAATTGATATAATATCAAGATATTCTATTCTATTCTATTCTATTCTATTCTATTCTATTCTATTCTATTCTAATTTATATTATATATAATATATTGATATTATATTGATAATATTAATATTGATATATTGATTATATATGATATATCAATTGATATAATATCAAGATAT